TAATTGTGGTAGGATCCTGGTACCCTTCATTGAGGTTGCACTGGATCTCCATCGATTGCCGGGTATATCAAACGGATATACAGTGTGTAAAGCGATGGGGTATACAAGAGGGAATTTTTTTTAAACATTGATTTATGAAAAAAATTTATTCTTCATGATATTTTTTGCTTGCTTTGAAAGTAGCAATATCGTTTCGATAATCTAAAATTTATTTATAGAAATCTGGAAAAATAATAAAACTAATTTTTTTATTGAAAGTTATCATTCTACATTATAATTAAGATAGAGTATTGCTATCAAACCACAAACAATCGAAACGTTATTGGTACTTTCAAAGCAAGCAAAACATATTATGAAGAATAATTTTTTTTCATAAATCAATATTAAAAAAAAATTCCCTCTTGTATACCCCATCGCTTTACACACTGTATAGGATTCATCGCATATTTATATTTATCAACACTTCAGACGAATACACATAGCAGAAAGTACATGAATGAACAGAGACCAACCACGTGGAAGAGCTTTTATCATATGGAAATATGCCCAGTAACCGAGTTATCTTATGATTTTAGTAAAATATTCGAATATCACCTTGTTTAATATAAACAAGAGAATTGGCAGGACTTAAAAATTTTTCATTTTTAAATATTTGCCGAATTCGTAAAATCCAGTTTCGAAGTAGAATTCTGTAAACTTTCATCTAATCATCCAAACAAGGGTCTTTCAGTACATGCCAGAGGACTCCCACACAATATACCATAGCAGAAAAGTAGTAGAGGATGCAAACAATATTAACAAAAACAGAGAGACGCTGTGTGGAAATTCAAAATAGGTTTAAAAGTCACGTTTGGTGAATAGTGACTGAATTGACTTTGCTCAAACAAGTTTATTATACAAAATCCCCAAAAACGACAGACTCCTGTTTTTACACAATGCAAATAATGCAAATAACTTACATTTATCTATGCGTCGAGGTTTTCTCCTGTTGAAAGTTAGCAGGAACTCAAAAAATAGGATGGTAGAACGTCTTGTGCCATACAATCGCACCATTGGTACTGCTAGCTGAAATTTGGTTACTCGTTGAAAATTAATTTCAAAAGATGGTCGACGCAATTTGATTTAGGACAAACTTGCTTCAGGTTACTCGCTGTTCATTAGTTGATATTTGATTTATTCACGGTAATAAATTGCCAATGTTCCTCAGTACCTTTATAACTTAGCAGCAAACAAAAGCACGAATTAATTGTCTTTAACCTTTTTACCGGTTACGGTCTTATTTATAATTTTGTCCGCTCCTCGTATAAACAAATATCTTTGATAATAAACTTGTTTTTTAAGATAACTAATCACTCAAAATATAGCGCAATGAAACGTTCTGTCATTTAACCCCAGCGCCTTTTGTAGTTATAATTTATTGTTACTCAAAAAGGTAACTCCGACAATGCAACGAAACAGATAAATTTGCGTACGTCTTCAAACGTATCACTCAGCGGATTGCCTCCGCGACGCAATGAAGTTCCCTTTCGGCATAAACCAGTCACATAATATTAGTTTACTTATATTAGTAACAAATTTAGAAGGCACCAACCTCAATAAATTCGTTTGGTATAAATTGGTAAATAATGCCATACTCTCCCACAAATTTGTCATAGTTTATTCATCGATTTGGGCACCCCCCGCCCAAGTTTTTCTATATGGGTAGATATAGAGAAAAATGCCCTATGCATGCTCCGTGGCAACGAGTTTTAGAACCGCCAACACTGTATAACGTTTCGACATTTATTTGCTTGAACATTCGTCATTATCTTAACGCGCTCCATTTTCTCGCATAATAGTTCTGTTCTCTTTCATCATTAAATGGTATACATACATAATTTCCCATATAGGCAAACTTGTAGAAAAATTCTTTAAAACCTCAAGCGACCTGTTACAAGAGTCAAGTCTAATGGATCGAAGAGACCTTGAAAGAGACACACAGAAGAAAGAGCTACAAACAATGGAAGGCTAAAGTTACAGATATAGGCAACGCAAAAAAATGTACAGGGTGACAATTTGAAAATTTACCACCCCCAATATCTTAGTAAATAAACGAGATATTTAAAAAAATCAAAACCCGTTTCGGTAATTCGGAGGGGGAATCACAATGACATAGTTGGCGACGCACTCCCTCACACCCCCTGCGCCCTAGCCACCCCAACTTTTAAATCTTAAATAGTGACCCCCCATGAGTGATACGTCGTTGGAAAGCTCTGAAAAAATGCTTTCCAACCATACCAAATAGCATTACATTTAGGTCAGTAATTATCGTGCAAATCAAAAAATAAACATGGAAAATCGTATTTAACTTGAACTTCCAAAGCCGACTCGACAGCAACTCATTTTTGATCGCCAGTTATAATCTATTCTCAAACTCTTGTCGAACCTTTCCAATGTTGGTTTTGCAATATTTCGACATTCTTGAATTATTCTCTGTCTTAGTTCGTCTATGTTCGCCGGTTGCGTTTTAAATACGACAGATTTCAAATGTATCATATTAGTTTACTTTTTGATTTGCACGATAATTACTAACCTAAATGTAATGCTATTTGATATGGTTGGAAAGCAATTTTTTCAGAGCTTTCCAACGACGTATCACACATGGGGGGTCACTATTTAAGATTTAAAAGTTGGGGTGGCTGGGGCGCAGGGGGTGTGAGGGGGTGCGTCGCCAACTATGTCATTGTGATTCCCCCTCCGAATTACCGAAACGGATTTTGATTTTTTTAAATATCTCGTTTATTTACTAAGATATGAGGGGTGGTAAGTTTTCAAATTGTCACCCTGTATGTAGAAAGTTACGAGTGTATGAAACAATCATATGACGTGTAGTACCTATTCAATGCCTGTGGGCTGTGACACATGGATAATCACAAAGGAAGAACATTGTAAAGAATATATGGAAGAACCAAGAATACAAATGAAGAATAGAAAAGAAGGAACTAAGGAAGCATACAAGATATTGCCCAGAAACCAAGCCAAAGCATCAGAAAAGACTTAAATCGTAAATGCGATTAAAAAAAAGGGGCCATCCAAGAAGAAATAGCTAGAAGTAAGAAATGATTTTAAATAGAATATTAGTGTATGAATAGAGGACATCATAATGAAACGAATGAAGTGAAAAGGAAATTGTTTTTAATAGTTTTCTTAAATAAAATCCACGAAATTATTAAAAATGAGTTTTCATTTCATTCCTATTTTTACAATAAGTTGGAAAGTACTCGATGCGTCGAGCTACTTTTTGTGCGACGGATCGAGATTTTATTAGCAAACTCATTTTATGCTACATTTTCATTACGAAGGAAACTTTTTGTGCTGAAATATAATCAGCATTTAAAGAATTGTGACGCAAAGCTAATAATACTTCAAATCCGAGCGAGCGACAGAACAGCCAAAGTGAATACTACTTTTTTTTCCATTAAAGAAATCAGTTTTCGCATTTTTAAGACTGTGAATTTTGACATGAATTCTTCAGCATCGAGTATAAATTTTAACTAACGCCATTGATTATAAATAATTTATTAGGCAATGTGTAAATGTGTGAGTAAGTTTAAGATTTCTTATTTTAATTGGCCGATCGCCTGCGTGCGGAGTAATATGTCCAAACAAGCAGTGTAAGCTTTTCTTTGTTTTAGGAATTTTGTTTTATTTCTTTCACGTTTTTCGCAATAAATTTTTGTCATTGTGTGTTTATTCGAGTTCAATGTGCAACCCGGATAGATTTCATGCCAGATTTTTCCTTTGTGTCCAAGAATTATGTCAGATGAAAATTTGTGCGGTTAATTCTTTGGATTTTCGTCTCTCAAGTTATTAATTTAAAGGCAACATTGACATTTTAAATTGTGACAGGATGTCTACGAGGAAAATAATTACAAATTCTAAATTTAAAGGTTGAATTGCTTTGACCTAGCTGGACTCTGTGTGTGTGTGACGTAGTGACCTTGAAAAAAGGAGGCACCAATTTTTTAATAATTTATAGTACCTACTATGTTTTTCCGTTATTAGGACATCATTAATTTGAATCGGGTAGTAAACACATACAAAATCAGGATAAAACACCTCACTGTTATAAAATTGATACATAATGAGACGATGTAATTAAGTGGTATGTAATAATAACTACCCAAAGCTTTCACATTGATGAAAACTGACAACATTATTGAATCAATTCCACCGGGCCGCAATGAAAACAATCCAAAAATACGTTTCAAAATGCAACAAATCGACGACTCACGAATGCATGGCTTTTAGTTTACTCATCGGGCAGTGTTTCTCTTTATTTCCAGTGTACGGAATTGGGCAATCGGACCCACCCTGCCTGCGTTTTAATTGCCTTTCCTGTAAAGTAATGTACCATGTCGCATTCCTAATAGGGGTCTTAGTATTTATCGGTCTTCACGTTTATTACGTAATATTTATGGTACCAAAGTTCACATTTGGGTGTCTAGGTACTAGAATTACAGTGTAACAATTGCATTTATATTATGGGCTTTTTCAGTTATGTTATTCTATTTCCTTGAATGCTTCGTTTCCTGTGTATTTATGTTACTTATGTCTCGTTCTTGGCCTAGATTGATGCTAATTTGGAGTCGAATCGATAATGTGGCAGCCAAATACGGAAATTTGGCTCCATTACATTGTCGACTAAGGGTGTTAACTGTAATATTTCTGTCTGCAGCACTAGGTATGTAAGTGAAAGTGGTTCTTGTACGATTATTTATTTTTAGTCGACTATGTACTGTTTACCTACTTGACTATTTCACATCTTCCAGAAGGATGGTCTATTGACGATATGCTTAAACAAAACTTTAGCCTCATTTTCACATTTATACCGTATTCCAAGTGGAAAGGCTTAATTCTTTCAGTAAGTATTTCATTGTTATTACAGCGAGAATCAATCTGGTGTTCAGGTGATTATCTTCACATGCATATTTACGTGGACCTATGGTGATTTATTGCTGATGATAATATGTACATCATTAGCAGAAAAGTACAGGCAAATAAATAGAGGGATAGCGAAAGCCATTAAAACGAATGTACGTTATTCTCTTTTTACACTGCTTCACTGAGTCCATCTTCAGGTACAAAATATTGCATTTTGGAAGAAGGTACGACAGGATTACGGAAGCGTTTTTAAGTTATGCCAAGCAGTGGATGATCATATAAGCAACTTGCTCATTTTGTCTTTTGCTAATAATATACTAGTTATATTAGTTCAGTTGTATAACAGTATAAAGTTATTGTGAGTAAAACCTGCGCAAGGGTTGGCATAATTAAAATGTTTCCAGAAGAGGTAATAGTAGCGGAATTGATCGTGTGCATTTCATATATGCATTCCTTTACATAATTTGTCGGGCAACTGCAGTTGCACTGTTCGCCGCAAGCGTCAACGAAGAAGGTAGTGCAACATTGAAGCACCTGTTTAATGTTTCTACAGAAGCTTATAATGTTGAGGTAAAAGTTGTACAAACTAGTTGACCAAAGGCGCCTTTGTATCGTCTTTACAGGTAGAGAAGCTGCTCCAACAAATTTATGTAGATCCGCCTCTTATAACAGGGAAGAGGTTCTTTTATTTAAAGAAACCTTTAATTATGCATGTAAGTATTGTACTCGTATTGGGTCAAATCTGATTCTGGACAGGAATACTTTTAGATTGCCGTTGCAATCGTGTCGTATGAGTTAATTCTCATTCAGTTTAAGGTAATTACCTAGCAAATCTTGTGTAATATAGAAAAGTGGTCATTAAATTGTAAGGATGGGCTACGTTTTTTCTACCTACACATGCTCTTCAAGAATACATTAGTATGATTAGCATTAATTCTTAAAAATATGTTTTAGGTCTCAATTTTGTCTGGTCCAGTACTGGAACTTGAAATAAACGAGTATGTAATTGTAACGAGTGGTTTTATTTCGCGCCAAATTTCATTAAAAAATTCGAAATTCCTTGTCATGATAGTGCAGGTCACCCTGTATATTTCATTATTTGTTCCGGTTAGAAATGTTGTGTTTGGGCATTTCGGTTCGCTCAAGACTATGGTCCGATAGATTTAATTTCGCTCAGATTTAATTTCGTCGTGGGAAGAGTGCAAAGCTGATTGACGTCATCATGAGTAATGCGAGTTTTTTGTCGTTCGTTTATCAACTTTGGCGCCGTCTAGACCGAGAAAAGGAGCGGATGTAGCACCGAGCCGTCAAGAGATAAGGAGTTTTCACGTCATCAGCAGAAAACCGTGAGATCAGTTTTAGTCAGCAGTTCCTTGAGGTTGACGACGAAGTTAGAGTGGGTTAAGTCTTCTTTATCTGAACCAATGGGAGAATTTCTAGCGGGAGCCATTTTTGTTTTATGGTAATTTGGGTGTGGTTTTTTCATTTCAATTCTGAAGAAGGGGATCGTTTTTGGAAAGACTCGCGGTTAGTACGTCAAGCGGTCAACACGTACCTTGAGCGATAGTTTTGGTACACTTGGCGGTTTGAGCCACCGGCTTATTTCGGTTGCTCCCAGTTGCGTGCTTTTTGCACCCGTTCCGAAGTGTTATTTTCTTTTCGTGTTGATTTTTTGGCGAAGAAGACCCAGGTTCCAATCAGGTGATATTTGGGCGAACCCTTGAGCTTCACCCCAGTTTACTTTGGATGCAGTGAATCGCGTTAGGATACGTTGTGATTTCTCGAGGATACATAATTCAAAGTGCTGCCCTAGTCCTCAAGGCGCAGAATTTCGGGATCCGCCCCAGGTGGAATTTCCTACTAGTGCCGTAAGGTCATTTGTCGAAGGAGCGCTGCGTTTCGGAGAGATATTTGCCCCAAGAAGAGCTGGTGAAATAATACTTTGAACCATCGCGGTTTACCGTCGGATAGTGATCATAAAAGTTTGTGTTCTGCCGTACCGCTAACTCAAAAATCTGTCTCCCGCAGGCGGTCAAAGCTAATAAACTAATAAAATAAAATTAAATACACGTGCTGGGTAGAAACTTTGGCAACTAGCCGTCTCCCACTCGCCACGCGAAGGATTTCCTGGCCTAAGTTTCAGTTCAAACGCTAAACTTTGCTTTCGTTCCGAGGAAGGATAGGCACCGTGGATTTTTGTTTCCGTGTGTTAAATTCAAGCCACCCCTTAGGAAGTCACAGAGACCTAAGTGTCAGGTTTCATCACATCCACCCTGTACCAGAGGAAAGAGCAGTTCACAAGATCGGCTGTACAAATGTTGTAAAGGTTAGTCTAATTAAATTTGTAACATTCTGTAAAATTCCACTTTTTGGTAATTAAGCTATAGTAAAAAAATTTTTGATTTGATTGTTTATTAAAGTCCAATGAACGATTACCAAAGAGTAGGATAAATTTTGTGTTTATTTAAATAAGTCCCAGCCCATGCTGGATTAAAAACCGATTACCTGTTGTTGCAATTTTCAAACTGTAGAGGATGGCCACCCCTTGAGTAAATTAGTCTCACCTGTTAGGATTTTTTATTTAGTTTAGTTGTCATTGTTAAGCTAGTGTTTTTACAAGGAGAAGAGAAGAACTGCTAGATCCCTGTAAATTGTTTGTATCGCTAATCTCATTTCAATATATTATCTATTTGGTTTCAATGTGCCTGTCTTTAACGAAGAACGAGGGGAAGGAAAGAGAGGAGTAGGAGTTGAGGCAGGAGACTGGTAGGCGGCAGTTTAAGGTTTGTTACGCAGTTTCAAAAGAGTTAAAAGCCCACCGATTTGAGTTAGCCGGAGCATTTATTTTTATCGATTGAGCAGCCTAAGAAGAAGACGGTTTGCCTTGCCGGGCGGAACCGATGGTAATTTTCAAGTCCAGAAGGAACCCCCGTAGCAAAT